GGGGTGTAGCTGTCTAAGCTGCTTTACGCCATTAAGCTAATGGAGATAGATGCGGGCTGGAATCATCTTCCCGTCTTCTCTGCTGGATGGAGAGATTGAAAGAGAGTGAGAGGATATCTGCTGTGATGAGCCGTGAGGGCTAGTGTGAATGAATGTGAGAGAAGAGAGGAGAGAAGGGAAGCTGCTGGGAGTTGAGGACTGATTGTCTATCTCCCATCTCATGCACCTTTATAAGTGAACACACATTCATGCAGGGAAAGATTATGGCCCGGGCCTATAGAGAATCTGACTTCAGGGGCCTCAAGCTGAGAGAAATCGAGTAATGAGCCACTAGAGATGCAAAACTGATTTTACAATGTGAAATAAATGAAGAATATAGGAAATATAGGAGATATTATCTGTTCCTGGTGTCTCAACACTAATTATGGTATATTGTTATGCAAGTGTTTATCTTGTAATGGCAACTTTAATTTCTGAATTTTTGACTGAAAAATTATGTGAAGAAATTAAACAGCTAATCACTGTGGCAGTACCCTTAAAGACACAACTTTGTACCTTATTTCCCCTTAAAAGATGCAGATATTACTACCTTAGAGCAATATTTCTCAAATGGGGGTGGGGGGTTGTAAAGGAACTTCGTGGGGTTCCAGAATTGATGAAAAGCTAATAATTAAATGGAATGTAAATTTAAAATGAATGTGGCTGGACAATTAATCAAACTAAAATTGCAATATAACCCAGTGGGATTATTAAATCAAAGGCTGCAAGGTTCACTTTATTTACGCATTCACAGCTTTCAACATTTCTATAGACAGAAGTTTATAGTAATTCACAGTATTCTGCCAAAATAAAAGATGAACATTTGAAAGTCAAGAAGATTTTTTTTCTAAATTGGAATAAATTTCTTGAATTGTAACTGTTAAGGTATCTTTTTGTATGAGTTGTAAGCAATAGCTCCCCATGTTCTTTTGTATATAGTTGTTGTTAAGAGGAAGAAAATATAATGCCTATGTAACATTTGAGAACCTCTAACCACCCATAATTGCTTCCTGACCTTTGCCCTGACAGCCTGACTTTGACCTGTCACATCCTGTTCTGGTTCCCAAGGGTTATCCAGTTGGGGATCAGGAAGGGGGACCCCTGAGAACCAGACATGCTAAAACAGGTCCCATAGTTTTAGTTAGGTTTAGCGGGGTGAGATATATGGGCGCTGGAAAGCATGCTGGGAAAATGCAGGCTGCAGGTGGCTTATGTGCAGAGAGGGTTCCTGATGGTGGGAAAAGTAAGGGTCTATATTTGTGAAGCCCCTCTAGAGGCCAAAGCGGCAGGTGTAGAGGTACATAAATAGGACAGGAGACGCAAACACGCTATTTCAGTAGTTCCAAGTGAAGCTGGCCTTTGAGACGGGCCTCCCCTGTGGGTTGTGGCACACAGACAGGAAGCTGAGGATGGATGACTCTTTTTCGCCAGGGTCTAAATCATCCCTCGTTCTCTCCCTCCTTCTCTCGCTCCACCTGGAAAAACAGTGGCAAGAGAAATGTGATCCTGACGGAAGGGTAGGCTGCGGAGGGGTGTAGCTGTCTAAGCTGCTTTACGCCATTAAGCTAATGGAGATAGATGCGGGCTGGAATCATCTTCCCGTCTTCTCTGCTGGATGGAGAGATTGAAAGAGAGTGAGAGGATATCTGCTGTGATGAGCCGTGAGGGCTAGTGTGAATGAATGTGAGAGAAGAGAGGAGAGAAGGGAAGCTGCTGGGAGTTGAGGACTGATTGTCTATCTCCCATCTCATGCACCTTTATAAGTGAACACACATTCATGCAGGGAAAGATTATGGCCCGGGCCTATAGAGAATCTGACTTCAGGGGCCTCAAGCTGAGAGAAATCGAGTAATGAGCCACTAGAGATGCAAAACTGATTTTACAATGTGAAATAAATGAAGAATATAGGAAATATAGGAGATATTATCTGTTCCTGGTGTCTCAACACTAATTATGGTATATTGTTATGCAAGTGTTTATCTTGTAATGGCAACTTTAATTTCTGAATTTTTGACTGAAAAATTATGTGAAGAAATTAAACAGCTAATCACTGTGGCAGTACCCTTAAAGACACAACTTTGTACCTTATTTCCCCTTAAAAGATGCAGATATTACTACCTTAGAGCAATATTTCTCAAATGGGGGTGGGGGGTTGTAAAGGAACTTCGTGGGGTTCCAGAATTGATGAAAAGCTAATAATTAAATGGAATGTAAATTTAAAATGAATGAATTAATCAAATTAATCAAACTAAAATTGCAATATAACCCAGTGGGATTATTAAATCAAAGGCTGCAAGGTTTACGCATTCTACGCATTCACAGCTTTCAACATTTCTATAGACAGAAGTTTATAGTAATTCACAGTATTCTGCCAAAATAAAAGATGAACATTTGAAAGTCAAGAAGATTTTTTTTCTAAATTGGAATAAATTTCTTGAATTGTAACTGTTAAGGTATCTTTTTGTATGAGTTGTAAGCAATAGCTCCCCATGTTCTTTTGTATATAGTTGTTGTTAAGAGGAAGAAAATATAATGCCTATGTAACATTTGAGAAATTTGTTTTCAAGATTGAGGGCATACATATTCTGTATATACATACTTTCCAGAGTAACATTAAGGTGTATGTACGGTGACGCATTGCTGCCACACAAATATTTTTTTTCCACTCAATTATGTCGTAATAACGAGATGTTATGTCGTTTTAACGACATCTTTTCTCGTTAAAACAACATCTTTTCTCGTTTTAACATCATCTTTTCTCGTTAAAACGACATATTTTCTTGTTAAAACGACATCTTTTCTCGTAATTAAGTCATGCACGCAGTTCATTGATTAAATCTTCATGTTAGTGCTTTGATGAATGCGTGGTTATAAACGTGTACTGTTACACCTGCCAGACATAACAACAGATAACACCGTGTCTACACCGGTGCCGTCATTGTCATATCAGCTTGAGGCTGTCTACACTGAACGCATCAAAGCTAAAATTCCAAATTTATTTGTGCTGTTGTCAGGAGTAGTGCAAGTGTGTGGAGTATGTAATATGCCACAACCAGTGTATATAGTATCACTGATTATAATTTGTGTTTACATACTGTAAGAGTCTGTTTGAATGTGATGTGTTTGTGAATAGTTAGATGATTCAGATAGTACTCGGGTTTGTACACTATTGAAAATAAGGAATCTTCAATGGTTGTATGCAGCATTTTTCCATTTTAGCATTTTTGGATGTTCTCGAGTTGCTAAATGGTTCTTTGAAGATTAATCATTTCATCTGACCTGTCATAATAATCAAGCCAATAGATATTATTGTAGCCCTATGGGTTTCACAGACTGTTAACCAAACTGTGTATTTCTTTTTGTCAAATCCTAATTAGTAGGCCTATGCAAGAGGGGCTAAAAGAGCACATTTGCATGGAATATGCCAATATCCAAGTGAATAGTGGGAGATGACATCCAATTCCAGTCTTTGGTGTGATTTTAGATAAAATTATCAGAACTATAGTTCCTTTTTCACAAATGGATAGCATTGAAACAAGTTAGAGCGAGAAATAAATTATATCAGAGTGATCTTATCTTTAACAAAGGAAAAGTTTGTGTTTCAGATAGAATTTTAAAAGCAATTCTTTGTAATACCATGGCACACTAAGAATACAGTATGGGAAAGGCACACCTAAAGGATAGTTAAATGCTTTTATACACTGTTCACAACGCATATTGTTCCAAAGAAGTTTTACTTTAAAAGTACCTTAATATCCTCAGTGAGTAAGCAAAAAGCAAATGTGGTAACGAAAAAAATATTTCACATATTAAGTAGGATGAGGGGGGAAAAAAACTGGGAAAACAGGACTCAGCAGATGGAACCCATCTTCTGGCTGCTACATTTGTAAACAAATGTCCATATGCCAAATAGTCCATATGCCGAATCTCAAGAATCGTCTGTGATAGGGGGCTATCTGGATGTGAAAGTATGCGTCTTTCAGATCTAAAGAAAAAAAGAACCAGTCCCCTGGGCACACTTGCAAGAGGATCTGTTTCAAAGTAGTCATCCTGAATGGCCGTTTCATAAGGGCGTGGTTCAGGCATCTGAGATCGAGGATGGGTCGCAGACTGCCATCCTTTTTGGGGACGAGGAAGTACCGTATTGTCCCGAATATAAGACGATGTTTTTTTCTTGGAAATACATCTGAAAAAACGCGGTGGTCTTATATTCAGGGTCTAGACTTTGACATGTCAATAATACACCCACAACACTAGGTGGCGCCAAATACGCATAAAACGAGTGTGCCATGAAATATGTAATGTAATGCGTGTTGTAAAGATTGCGAGTAAAAACAAAAGAAGCAGAAAACCTTACAGCTGCATGAGTCGTGACTGTCACGTTAGCCTGATGGGACCAAACTCCCTTTGTGATTTTAAAACGTAAGACAGTACCCAGATTTGAAGACTACAGTAAGATTTTACTTCTACTGTTAATAAGATTTTGGTAGGCTGGTATTAGATGGATAGCCTAAATGTCCTAATTCAGATGGGCTACCTGTTTTTTTTTTTTTTTTTGGTATATCAAAAAGTGTATATTTTTTAAATGTGATTTGTTGGTACATTTTACCAGTTTTTATCATACTTTCAAAACAAAAATTAAAATAGGAAAAATATGCAATATGAAAATAATTGAAGACAAAATGTGTTTTACTGAGAAAAAAAACAAGATTTGGTTTTTAAAAAGCCTTTTTCCAAAAGGTACATCTGGAAAAAGGGGGGTCGTCTTATAATCAGGGTCGTCTTATATTCGGGCCAATACGGTACATGGGCTCGCTCACATAAGAATTTGGGATGAAATGGGTTAATAGCTGCTGCCATCGTGTGGCTTTTCAACGAAAAGTTTCTGCGGCTGTTGAGCTGCCCTTTTGTCTTCAAAATGCCTCATCCAGCTGATAGAGGGCGCTAGAGGTTTAGTTTTATATAAGATCAGTCAGAGACGCGGAAGCACAATAGCGTGAAGCACGCAGAGACGCAGCTGAGTAGATATGGGTGTGCAAATAAAAGTTGAATACTGGTGAGTGATTTTATAATAGGTAAATTATTTAAAATAGAATGTGATTTACAAACGTTTTCCTCTATTCGGGTAAAATGTCTTCACGAATGTGGTAACGTTAGATTAAACTGCTCATGCAGATTGCCTGCTGTTTTTGTTATTAACATAACCCTCTTCATTATCTCGTTTCCTTTATGTATTCATGAATAAATGTCATGTACAAGTTTATCATACATCATGTTTTAACACGTGCTGTTCTCCAAAATTCTCGGCGTTTCTCTTAAACAGGTTTGAAAGGGGTTTAAAGAACTGAGCAGGTACCTCAGAGATTTAAGATGATCCATCTGATTTACTATGGGATTTTAGCGGGAAGACTAAATCCTAAACTGTATATCCCTCAGGAAAGGGATTTTCAATTTATACAGAGTAAAAGACCCCCATCCAAACTCTCAAGCAACCCAGGAACCCCTTAAAATACTATATTTACTTTATAGTAACATTCTATAACAATTTATTAATTTTGACAAACATTAGCTTCTTTAAAGTTTAACAGATTATAAATGCCATATATTTTGAAAAAAAAAATTTCAATGTAAAAAAAAAAAAAAAAGTTATTTGTCTTTAATATGTTTAGGGCTTATTGCAAAGTGATATGATGCACAGCAACTGAACTGTGAGGAAAGTTATGTGCAATGGTATGAGCTAGATTACTGACTCCAGTAGTGATCATAGTGATAGTTATGGTATTCAGTCTTTTAGTACCGAGTTTTTACCCTCTCATAAAGATTAGTGTTCTATATGGAAGCCCCTTTCTGTCTTGGAATAAAAAAAGTTATCTACAACTTTTTTTTCCCCCTCTCAATTCTGAGAAAGTCTAAAATTGCAGGATCTAAATTCAGAATTTGGTGATATAAACGAAGGAAAAAGGTCGTAATTTCCTTATTTATTGTTTATTCTATAGTGGAGTAAAAAAAAAAACGTAATGTAAACCTAAAATTCAGAGGAAAAAGTTAGAACTGCAACTGACTTTTTCTGAATTTCTTAGTTTTCCTCAGAAATGCAAGAAAGGAAGACCAAATTGTGAGCTAATTACGTAATGATTTTTTTAATAAGTAATTACTTTTTATTTTTATTATTTTTTTTTTTTTATTCTCTGGCAGAAACAAGCTTCCATAGTTCTAGTCTTCAGGTTTATTGTCAGACATAAACTCATACACTAGTTACCACCCATTGTCTGTTTGCCTGGATCCAAGCGTTTGTTAGATGGCATAATTACTGTGAGCTTACGTTCACTGTTATGTTGCAGCGGCGGATGAGGGTACGAGTCCCGCTTTCAGGAGCTCAAGCAGGTCGTCACTGCTGAGTTCACTGATGCGGACGTGAGTGGCTTCGTCGGCCGCCAAGGTACCTTGCACATTTATAGCCATGCAGTGATTTACATCTTATGCAAAAATATGAATGTGAGCAAACATCATCAGCTCTTCCGTTTCTCTTTTCCAGGGAGCTTTGAGATTGAGATCAACGGACAACTGATTTTCTCAAAGCTGGAAACCAGTGGCTTCCCTTATGAGGATGATGTGAGTAAACATCTCACGCTGTATAAAATTTTCACCTATAAAAAGTTGTTGATTTTTCACGTGTATGTGTGCATCTCTCTTTTATCCCATCCACAAGATTATGAATGCTATCCAAAGAGCCTATGATGGCCAGCCGGTGGAGAAGATCACCAAGAGCCGGCCTCCTTGTGTCATCCTCTAAAGTTTCACCACTTGACCCTTCACTTTTGGCTCTAAAAATGTCTAAACGGTCAAGATTTTGAACGGTTCTGTTAACATAACTTAAAGATCTAGAGAAAGAGTGTATTGATGTAGGATCCTTAAACGTCCCCTCCTCTTCACTCCTCCGGTCTGGTTGCTGGACGTAAATGATTATCGTAACTCTAAAGTGAGCAGTTACGGTATGAGGCCTGCAGTCCACGCATCCTTTAAGCAGGAGGAGCAAGATGCGGGGATGCTAAGGAGGAGGCCAATGGAAGGGTTAAGGTCTTTTTTTGTTGAAGCCACATTGCCTACTGGGGTCACTTTTCGTCTGCTGATTATTTGTTTTTGTTTTGGGGGATTTGAAGAGAATATACTAATGTACTAAACGTTTGCTGTAAGAAGGGAATGCCTAAAGCTTGGGTCATTATTTTTGGGTGTGACTAAAACTAATAAAAACTAAAATGACAGTTTCACACAAAGACTAGACTAAAACTAAAATTAAAACAGGCCGCCAAAAACAACACTAGTTGTAGTGTTATACATTTTTTTCATCATTAAATCAAACCAAATAGCTGATTTAAGGGCATTTATATGACTTGCAGACACTGCCGCATGTTGTTGTTGTTGTTGTTTTTTTAGAAACTACTGATGACCCCGTTTATGAAACAACCCTCATATATGGTTAATAAAATAATGAGCTATCATCTGGTTTTGTCCTCCAATTATGTTTGGGTCTTTGCTTTTTACATAACATTCATTATGTTGCATGTGTTCTGCCTTCATCTGTATTCTGTTCGTGTGTAGTCAAACAGAACACTGTTACACAAAAAACTTTCTCTAAGAGGCACTGGCTTTGGTATGTGTGTCATATAACAAATGTTTGATTTGACAGTAGAAGTAATATTGTTAAGGAAATAGGAAATGGCATACAGCAATTAGTAGTCTTTTTCAGTCTTTTTAATTAAGGCGGTAGATCAAACCTAATTCAATAGAGTGCAGTGGGATGGAAGTTTCTTCATGAGGTTGTGAGGACAGTGATGTTTAGCTGCTTAACTTGGTCCAACTGATTCTTTCATTTGTCGACATTAAATAAAATACATGGACTGTTCAATTTCTGTGAATTCTGGTTTGATTATATGTTCAGTGTGTTATGTGTTACAGTAAGCTTTTTGTCAGCTTGTCCTAATTTAAAACAATATTTGTATATTAAAACACATATTAAAATATATTATATATGTATGTAAACCTTGTAACACTTTTTTACATGCAGTGCCTACATACTGCTGAAAACAGCTTAAACCTTAAATGGTTTACTGTATTTTGGCCTGACATTTTAGCTGCCAAACCAGCAAACCATCAGAATGCTGGCCTGTCAAGTGAAGTTTGCGATCATTTTTCCCCCCAGTATTAATTTCCAGCGATATCGTCGACTTAATTGCACAGATAGATTTGAACTGAAGAACTGAGCTGGATGATGACATCACTTAATTCAATGATGAACTGCCTTTAACTGAAAATTAAGTGTTTGCTATTGTCCTTTTGCATTATTGACACTATTTTCCTATTTACTGTAAAGCTGCTTTGACACAATCTGTATTGTTAAAAGCGCTATATAAATAAAGGTGAACTGACTATTGCTGAAGAGGGCAAGTGTACCCTAAAAATAATTATTTTATGCAGCTGTTGACATTTAGGCTATTTTGATACAACAGTGAACTGTTAAAGAGGATCATTGTCATTGACAGTGATGAGCAGCTACTGGCCTTTAAAACTCTGTAGGCGTGTCAGACAGGTGGAGGTGAGCAGGGTGTAGCCTTTCTGACGCAGCTGTCTCGGTGGATGTGTTGTTTTCTGTCTCCTCGAACAACCAGGTAACCATTAACCTTCACAGGTCAGAATAAAGACGAGAATCATGGTGGTGAAGATAAAAGTCGAATACTGGTAAGTTTCATTACTAAGTATTCAAGTTGCATCTAGCTGTCTTTAAATTACTGTTATTCCTCATTATAAATTCTTTAAAAAATTAAGTGATGTTTTTAAATGTTTCAAAAAACTAGAGAGCTGCATATGACATGTTTGTTCATCAAACACGCACTTCGAAGAGCTGTGATGCCCATAAATGAAGTGTATTTAGGCGGCATACTCGGAACGAGTCTGTCTTCTATGAAGAAAAAGGGGCCCAAAAGAACATTCCGTTCGTGAATGGGACATCGCTAGTGTTGTTATCGTGCGATATGGAAAACCCAGTTTAAGCTGTTTTGCATGGCAGCTTCTGAGAAAAAGCCGGTTATGTATGCAGAAATGACTGAGCATATTTCAAACTGAAGTAACCAATCTTCTGTGACCCACCAGCGGCAGATGAGGCTACGAGCCTCGCTTCCAGGAGCTGAAGCGGGGCATCTGCGCCAAGGTTCCTGATGCTGAGGTGTCAGGCTTCGTGGGCCGGAGAGGTTGAGTACATATCTGACTGTCCTCATATAGACACAATAATCCACAAATGGCATGCTTTACATAAATTCCTCACGAACTAAATAAAAACTTGTGGGATTGACAGTAACAGTATAACCTTCCTCTTTCCTGTAGGAAGTTTTGAATTACAGATCAATGAACATCTGGTCTTCTCAAAATTAGAAACAGGAGGTTTCCCTTATGAAGAGGATGTAAGCATCAGGGAATATTACATTGTTTGTGTACATTGTGTGGCTAAATACTTTGTAACGTATATTGCTTCCTAGTTTTAGACTTGTTTCCTTTTGGGTTAAATAGCATGCAGCAGCCTAGGATCAAGAATACTTTTTAAAGCCAACACTTTTTAATTTTGCTTGATATACAAAAACGTATAAATGTGGGATCATGCTTTGTCACATATAATGTAAGTTTGTTTCTGTAAGACAACGTTTTGAAATAACACAACACAAATGGAATTATGAGACTAGTGCCAAAAATGTGACACAATTTAATAGTAGATTTCATCTCTGCGCACTCTGGACATATTCACTCAATAATGCATGAGGTGCAATCTGGGATGCTGTTTAAACAGTGTTGAACGGTTTCTTATACGATGGACATTGTTGACTACTTTTCCTTCACTATTCACTCCAACACATCCCTTTAAACAAAAGTATTGTCCGAAAATGTAGAGTTTGGCGCAATTTTGCATTGTCAGACTAAATTCAAGCATTTAATCAAAGCCTTTAGAAAAGATTAAGATATTAAAACGATTTTTAATATAATGAAAAACAAATCCAGTCGAGTCTGTCTACAATTGTACCTAGTAGTGTTGTGTGTTGTTTACTTATTTTAATTTTCATTATTTTTTCTTTGTCTAATCTCTGTAGATTATGGAGGCCATTGTTAAGGCTAAGGATGGAAAGCCTGAAAAGATCACCAGAAACCGTAAAGAGTGCATCATCCTCTAATGCTTTGACCTCTGATGCCCATTACCATCTCCTCTGTCCGATCCACACGAGCATCTTAATGCTCTATTGCAGAAAATGGTTTAATTGTTTTTGAAGCTCTTCACTCGTCTCCTTTATCACTCTAGTTTTTTGGACGTAAATGATTGCCATAGCTCAAAGTTCAAAAGTTATGATATGAAGCTTTAGTCCAGAAAACTCTGAACCCGAAATAGAGTAATAAAGAAGATGAAGTGAAGAGAAGAGTACTTTTTTTTTCATTTTATTTAATGGTCAGTTTTCCTGACAGAATAATCAGTTTATTCAAGAGATATGAGGCACACCTAGTCTTATTCTGATACCTAAAACTTACATTTATTGAGTAGGATTTCAGAGATAAAGTTATAGAATAATTTTTAGTGGATATAAAGACACAAATATTGGTAGGGTAATTGGTAAGTAACTGGCAAAATTACTTAATTTGGGAAAAAAAGTTTTTGTTAGAGTACTGAAACTGTTGATTTAACTAGCTCAAATATAATTGATAATTGTGGTCCACGTAATGTAAAAAATCAATCAATAAATAGTTTCTGAAAATATTTGCAGATTGTTTTTGAAATGTTGTCACATATGCCTACCTAACATTTAACTCTCGTGAAGTCCGTCTGCTTTGGGCTAGTAAATTTATAGACCTAATACATTTCATAAGTTATCATGAATTATGAATCATATTAGACGTTTTAGTGCAGCAGTGAGTTCTTTTGTAGAAATCCTTCAGGTTGTAAACATTTCTGCCAGCAGTAGAGGGCGTTTCTCTTTGGTGATGTGTTCTTTCAGGATATTTGCTTTTATCTCCTTTTACACTTCATGCATTAACAAAATGGAGGTGAAACTGTTTATATGGAGCCATCAATAATGAAGATTTCTTAACTAATTGCAAGTAACAGAATGGTATTTATTACCAGCAATCAGTGGCATTTCAGAAGAGTCAGGTGTGTAGTGTACTATAAATATTGTGCACTAAACAAAAATATTAAGTATGGTGATTAAATTCATGTCAGGAAGGCTCAGAGTCAATATAACAAGACAAAACACAGCTAGGGCATTGACACCAACATTTCATTATACCAACGTGTTAAAGTACATGTAGTAATGGTGCATACATGCTTATTAAGGCTAAGATAATATGAGGACAATTCTGTTAGGAGTTTCCAACACTGCACTGTAATTTTCAAAATGAAAACTGGGTGAACGCCCTTAAAGCAGCGGGTGATAGTTTGTGTGTATGGTTATCACAGAACAGTCAAGCTGGTGTGTTTTATCATAAAACGCCAGAGACTGGAGGAGGGACACACCTACATGTACACACTGTGTGCTATACAATGTAATATGTGCAGTATAGCATGAACGCTGGGGAATAATATCATACAAACACTCTTTCGTGTAAGGCACACGAAATCAAGTGTTAAATTGTCCATCTAGTTACATTTGTGTTGTCAGCATATTGTTGAAAATAACTACGGTAAGACGGGGTAAGATGCCCCTCCACCTTAATTTTTTTCTCTTAACTATAGATGGCAGAAAACCTCATCTCAACTCTTGATGAATGGTTACACTGTTTTTAATTTTGTCATTTCGTCTGAATATCAACATTTTGAGATTTAGTCAGTCTAAACAGTTTTAAGGTAATTGATTTAATGTTATGACTCTGGAAAATAGCGATCTATGACATGAAAGTTTTTGTGTCTGTTAATTATGGATTTTTGGATACATTTTTAAATTTGTGGAGTAAAAGTTGATTTTATTTTGAAGAAAAAAGTTAAATTAGACTTTTGGGGTAAGATGATCTCCCAGAATTGGCACAGAAGGCCCGAGTGGCATGTTTACATATCTTAAGATATTGGCAATTAAATATTTAAATATTCATAAGCCTGTATCTATACGTCATAGAATAATTTGACCTAATCCCAGGCAGGGGCAATTTACGGCAGTAGGGGCCATTTTACCCCCCTATTTTGTGCTATAACAACTAAATTATCAAATGTTTCTATTTATTTCCTGTAATAACACATTGGCTGATGCATCATCATCATCCTGCACTTGCTACACTTATATCTAAATATGTTACAATTTAAAAGCAAATCCACATTGTTCTAAAGGGGGGCCCATACCTGTAGCCTAGGCTACCGAAATAATCAAGTGTAATCGAATCAACCCAAATTTCAGATTTCATGATGCGCTGCAGTGGAAATTGTAATCAAATTGAATCGTTAGAGTCAAAAAAATAAATATCCACATTCCTACTTTATCCACCTTATGTCTAACACAACAGCGAATGCGGCTATTTGTAACTTGAATATGCAAGACTTCTGGTGTCATTTGCTTCCTGTTATTTGACCTGATATTGCAAACTGGTATTTGTTATATCATTTTATTGTAGTATGTGTAGTAAACACATACATTTTTGGTAAAATCCCGCTTAGCATTTACACACACACTATATAAAGCAACCTTCCTCTCTGACTGGCTCAGTAATCATGGTTCAGTTATTGCTCACGGGTCATGTGATGCTCCTCTCTGGAGATGCAGCTATTCCATCCTTTAATAGGTCTCATAACTGCAGGACTGAGCATTAATTACTCTTTTAGTCCTGAAAGGTCTCTAGCCACATGAATGCTGACATCATAAATGTGTTGTCAGTGAACTGTAATCATTGCCTGATGTCCCCAGTGAAAATGTGCTCTAACGCACCTGGTATAAAGGTGTGTATTCCTCCCCATGGACTTTAACAATGTAGATATTATTTTAAATGAACACTAGGTAAATTATAAGTTGACTATATATTATTAGAATTCATTGTATGTTGGAGTGAGTGATGTTTACCTCTTTCCTTTCATTTGGCATTGTCTTTTTCTTAGTTTTTAGTTCTCAGGCAAGACAGTAGCATCATAATTTGCGGGGACAGACCTGTCCAATCCTGCTTATGAAGGCCAGCTTTCTGCAGAGTTTTGCTGCAACCTGCCTCAAAGTTTCTGGTAATCATGCAGACCTTTATTAGATGGTTCAGATGTGTTTAATTGGGGTTGGAGCTAAACTCTGCAGGAAGGTGGCTCTCCAGGAGCAGGATCGCTTGTCTAAGAGCAACCTGCCTTGCTCGAGGGCACATTAGGAATAATACAAGAGGATGACAGTAGTGCTGTTTTCTGAATCCGTGTCACTTGGGATTGAACCTTCAAACTCTAAATGGCAGCCCAAGACCATTGACCACACAACCCCCGTCTCCATGTTTCAGGTAATGCATCACATTCGGTCACATAAATTGTTGTTTTGTATTGAAATATTGAAAATGATTATTAGTTGTTCATATATATTGAAAGATATAAATTGTGTGTTTGTGTCTGAAAGCTTGTGTAAATTCGAGCGCTGTCGTTAACAGTCATGGGGTCATGTGTGCGTTGATAATATGTTGATGCCAGGTTACTGCTTCTTTCAAAAATCATTTTCCCAGCCGTGTTCATCCCAAACCCAATGTACCATGTCCCAAATTGCTGTAAAAATAGTGGCCGGTTTTCCCTAATTCAGAGTTGGGGCCAGCGTTTTCTCCCCACAGTCATATATATGTGGTCACATTATTTTTACTCTCTCAGAGCAGATTTTTTTTCCATTCAAATTTAAATTAATATATTTTAAATATAAATGTCAATTTTGGTACTTTCACTAATGAATCAAACAGTGTAGTTGAGAAAATGGCATCAAAAGTTAATATTTTTGTACTTTTTGCCAGGGAAAAAAATAGTATAAAACAAATCACTGATTTTTTTCCCTCATAACAGAGCTGAAATATTGAAAAGGCAAATGTAAGTGTAAAGACATACTGTAAGCAAAACATAATCAGTTTGAACCGTGTGACCAAAAACTCAGTTACAATGCCCTCACTTATGATGTCAGAGTGATTAAACCATTATTGTTAAAAGGGGAAATGTCACAAAACTGGCTTGAACAGAAAGTGAGGGATAAAGACAAAATATGCATTTTCAGAAAACGCATTAAGCATTTGAGAAATTAAAAAAAATACTAAAAAAAAATCAATAAAAGCAAAATGTGTCTGTTTTTTTCTTCTTCATTATAATCCATTAAACTGTAATGTGATGAATGGTAACATACAAATCAGCTTATATTGAAACATTTTTTTTAATAAAACTGTTATATTTTAAACTTTCTTTTGCATTACATCCTAAAGAGAGTTAAATCTGTCAAATTTTGTGGCCAGGTTTAGTGTCCTGAGTAGTAATGAATAGTAAGACAGGAATATAAAGGGAACACAAATGGCGTTTCCAGAGAATGACCTGAACCAAGAAGGTTCACAGAATCATCCCTCTGGATGAAAAGTGAATCAGCAAATGACACAGCCTGGATTATTGTTTTGTTTTATTTATTTCCAGGACTTGAACGAGCTCTCATTGGCTCAAGGGGCAGCAGTGTTTCCGTGACTCAGCGGAAAAAAGGTGACATATCAAACGGATGTGAGGGTCTTGGAGGGGGAAACCCCTTAAAGCACCCCCCAACCACCTTTACAGGGGTGTCCACCAATACTCTACGTGAAGGGAATCCCAAACCTCTATGCAGCTTGACATCAGAAGGCAAGATAGTTTTACTGATTAGTTTACCCTGCTTATGATGAGCTCCACATTAAAAGTACACATTAACCTCTCTCTCTCTCTCTCTCTCTCTCTCTCAGTGTGTCATAATTTGGCCTTTATCCAGGTTAACTGTTTTCTGGGAGTGGCATACACGATGGGTTGTTTATATTTTATATTAATATTTTTTGCAGATACCTTTTTACCTGAGGAACTAGCATTAAAGTGCACATGAGCCCATGCCTTTTGAATCAGTTTAATGAGGATACAGAGTTAACTAGGACAGGTAACTGAGTCTGTACCACCAGAGGCCTCAAACTCTCTCCGCCTCTCTTACTATGTTCTGTCTTGGACCGGGTTGAAGGTGACTGTTTTTGGGAGTGGTGTTAGGGTTGGGGTATTCCTGCTGTAAGGTGGCCCCATCGATAAGACTGTTTCTCTGATTATGGGGGTCTTATCACTCACTCCCACCCCTGGGTGCTCTACGCATGCTGTTGCTTTTCGGGTTGCCGTGCACTACGTGACTTTACGTCTTTCTCTCTTTTTCCATTACCCCTCCATCTCCACCCATGCCTTTTGAATCGATCCGAGGTCAGTCTTGAGTTGGGCGCTCAAAGTGTAGACGCGGAAACCCAGCACAGAGACCCGCCAGGACCACCTGGGCTCAGGTAAGGGTGTGCTGCGCTCTGTTAAACAGTCAAACTAAGTGTTTATGAGAAGATCTGAGCGGATGCAAACGAAAACAGTAGGTTAAAATGAGAGGGTGGTCACTTGTGCACAGGGGGACACCTGCTACACTGGAGAAAATGATTTTTCCAAGTAGAAATAAAACAAAGACTATTTGAGTCTGTTTTAAAAAGAAAATGTAGTATTCCGTTTTTCTATTTATAAAATTTCATGGTTAATTCAGTGTGTTACTTACTGTTTCTTTGTAATTGCTTGCGAAATATACTAGCAATTTCTGAGTGAAAATTGTTTCTACACCATTTTTTTTAGTGTTTTCAGTGTACAGATCTCACTGTTACTTGCAGCAGTAATTTATCAATCATTTTGTAAGGACTGCTGGAAAAAAAAATTGAACTTTATATTATATATATTGTCTCTATAGTTGTATTTCTAAATATCTCATAAGACTGAGGCTGAAAATAATGAGCTTTCATACTGGAGACTGTGAGGCTCATATAAGGAGTTGTTTTATAACTGCATTTAACAAATTATTCCAGGCAGCATATTTAAATGTGCCATTCATTTTTCGATTGCTAAAACTGCTAAGATAAAAGAACATTTCCACAAGTTTAAATTTGTTTATGTAAGTAAATCTAAATGTTAATAATGTTCATCTTACTGAAAATAATTTGTCTTTCTTTTAAATTGGTGCAGTCTGGTGTATTTTATTTATTGAAAAGTTGGACGCTGTGTGTTTAATTCTGTCTATAGAGTAACTTTCTTCAGTGTATTTGTTGTATATAGGCTTCTTAATGAACCTAGGGAAGGTCACATATCATATTTTACTAATTAGTTGCAATATTCTAATAAAACATTTTAGGAAGTAGTGTTCTTCTCTCCACTCGATTTTTCATTGCTCACAGTTTTTAGCACAAATCCCAACTAATGTGGAACTTTAACACATTGGAAATAGCTCTACATTTCATAGTAATTTTCTAGCAAACGTTGATAAGATTTTTGTTCAGTGAGGAATATATTTGTGTTTACCATCTTTGTCAATCTTTTGAAGTAGTAGAGAGTTTTGAAGCGCCATCAAACCGCTCTGATGTGCTCTATCTCTATGCCCATGAGGGACAGAAGAGCCCTTATCATTCGCTAGAAGTTCAGGCTTCAGATAATTGTCTGTTTGTGGCTCTCACACACCCTTGTGCTAGTTCAGGGTGAGTCTCAGTTTTGAGCCTCTGAAAGACAAAAACTGTGATCTGATCCTCAACGCTTGTGAACAGAGACCTTGCTTTTTTTTTTTTTGCTTATATGAAGTAGTCAAAGACATACAGAACATTAAGAACTATATTTTTATCATTCATATTTATATATGCCATTGCAAATACACTGTAAATATTCTATGCAAATCATTTGAAGTAAAATTTACTGGTAAAACTCATACTAGTCAATCATACAATTTGTTGAAATGTATTTGTTATGTTGTCTATAGTAACACTTTAATAAAGGGGAGTATATGAATGAATGATAACCACTGCCTGTAGCAGGTGTGCAGTTCTTACAGTCTGACTGTGTTATTTTGTTTCTCTGTGTGAATGAAGGTTATGTGTGAGTTCTGGGACAGAGAGAAGACAGTCTTGATGATGGAAGCAGTATCGTTTGAAGAGGTGAGGAGAGCATCTCATTGCACATGAAGTAGTTGATGAAGGTCAAGTGCAAGTTGATTTATTGGCATGACATGTGTATTATAGTATGGATAGATATCACTCTCTCTCTCTATATAGGACAACGACATGTCCTATGAGGACAGTGAGTCATCTCTACCATCTCCATTCACTTTGTGAGTATCACACACGTAACACACACTGATAGAAATGCAAATAAAGTTGCATCTGCTTCACTGCATTTCTCAGCCACAGTTTAAGATTCCTGCTGTCAGGTTGTATCGATTTAAAGACCGGTAATGTTTGTAAAATTATTATGAGGATTAATATCCCCAAACTGTCATTACCGTGGTGCATCTAGACAATTTGATTATTATTTTATTAGGTCCTTATGATATTAACACTTTTTATATGTAAAGTAGTTTTGTGTATTTTTGCAACTTTGCCTTTTTCACAAAATTTCATACCCATTGACCAAACTTATATACTCCCAGAACAGACGTTTTGGGGGAAGCATTCACTTTATTAGAAGTACCATCAGCATGAAAACTGATATTTCAAGGTGAAAAAAAAAACTTCAAATGTGCATAAATTAAACCAAACATGGTGTGTAAATACAATGCAATTTTGCAATTTTAATGTTTTTACATTGCAACAATGTGAATAAGATTTTACAAATTATTGAGATATTGACAATTAATAATTATAAAAATAAAACCAACACCAATGCCATCAAGAGAGGAGATGCAGAGGTGATAAACACAAATACATTAATTCACTTACTCTTATCTTTGACTTCTTTGTAAAAGCCTTAATAAAAATTCTCGTCCACACTAGGCATACGTTAGCAAACATGATATCACAGTTATATTTTTGTAATTATGTATACCCTCTATGGCAAATTATTGAGATATTGACAATTAATAATTGTCATGAAAATAATGCAATGCAATGCAAAAAAAGAGAAAAAAATGGAAAGAGAATTTTTTTTTTTACAAAATTGTATCTACTTTTTTTAATTACCAGTCAGTTATTATATTTATTGATGTATATAGTCATTCATTTTTGGGAGAAGCTAATCAGACAGAGTTCTCATCTGAAAATCTCAAAAAATAAAATAAAAATAAAAAATTACTAATTATTTAAATCTCTAACAGTCAGAAGTTATATTTTCACTTTCAACTGGAATGTTGTGTGTGGTGATGAATGATCACAAGCCCAACTATGTGCCCTTCTCAGTTTAAATAAATAAATACAAATAGTGGATTACTGCACACTACAGTAGGCCTACTTCAGGATTACAGACAGTAGCCTAAAGTTGTCAAACGTCGCACCCTTGTGGCCGACCAGGGCAGTGCGAGGGCTGGACAGAGTGAGGTTTATGTTTCTTGTATCAGGGATGGCTTGAGTCGCTTTGTAAGAGGATGGAGTTCATTCTGCCCTATGGTGCATAAGATATGGTGAGTGTGTGGAGCCGTGACAGTCGGGTCTGTACCCTGGTGTGTGTGCTGTAGCGTGTGCTCTCTGTCGCCCTCTATAGGACCCCTGCGGGACACAAAGGCAGCTATGATTTAGAGCAGATGAGGCAGCAGGAAGAGGAGCAGCATCAGACCTTCACCTTCTCTAGAGACTTAGAGGGTGTGTTGCAAATATATAAACAAAATACAAATGCATATATAAAAACAAACCTTACACCTTACCGATTCGCTACTCATTTTTTCCATTTCCCTTCTTCAGCTGCCCGAAATACCAACACCAATGCCATCAAGAGAGGAGATGCAGAGGTGATACACACAAACACATTAATTCACTTACTCTTATCTTTGACTTCTTTGTAAAAGCCTTAATAAAAATTCTCGTTCACACTAGGCATACGTTGAGTTAAACGAGCTACGTGGGGAGGTGTGGCAGGAAATGGGACGCTGGCTGGGTTATGAGGAGAACTTAAGCCCTGCCACGGGACAGTGGAGTCAGCCCCACATTTCCTATCTCACCTTCAAAAGCCTCATTCAACTCCGCAAGGTCATGACCACAGGTGAGACACCAAGTGACATGTTTCCTCTGGCCTTTGGACACTTTAATTAAATAAGAAAGTGTAGAGAGGAAAGGAAATGGGTAAGTGTGGTGCCCGCATAAACACTGAAATATACTTCTAACAGAGGCCCATATCTCAACCAGAGCATGTTAAATTCAGTGACTGGATCAAGTAAAACACACCAAGCAAATCAAAGCTTCTTTCAAAGCTGTTACAATGATATGACACTATAACATGGTGATAAATGTGAATAATGTAAAGCAAACATGATATCACAATTATATTTTTTTATAGTGCTGTCAAAAGATTAATCGTGATTAATCGCATACAAAAAAGTTTTTGTTTGCATAATATATGTGAGTGTTGTGTGTATATTTATTATTTATATATGAATACACACACATACATTATATATTTTAAAAAATATTAAAAAAAACTAAAATAGTTATAATAAAAATTTCAATTAATCATCACATTTTAGAATTCCAGGTTTTCAGTTTTGGGGTGAATTAAAAGGAATATTCTTACATATTCTTTGTGGTGACTGTAACCAGGGGCGGTGCTGCTAGATGTTGATGAGAGCAGCTTATCAAGCATTTGTCAGAAGATGGTGGAACAACTCCTGCTCAAAAAAGAGATCCGGCCCACTGACCGTGACGCTCTTGTGGCCATACTGCAACGCAAGCGCAGGTCAGGCTCCATGTCATCTGTGTTGCTTTGTGTGTGTGTTTATGTGGAGGAAAGTTACTTCAGTTTTTATCGCTGTATAAAGTAGTCCTGGGAACTGTTTTTTTGTATTTCAGAAATCCTCATTATTTGGTATATGAGTCACAGGGGTCTATATTAATAGCCGAATATCACTGTGTATGACTATAAACTTTATATGACTCATTGTTTCTGCTTCACAGTCAATTAGAGCCCACTTCGGCCCCTGGTTCAGCAGACATAGAGCTACAAACATTCTCAATCACCAAACAGGTATCTATCTGTCTGTCTATCTATCTATCTATCTATCTATCTATCTATCTATCTTGTTGGTCCTGCAGCAGTCTGATGTTAGAAAAGGGTAGAGCTGATGTTAGGGCACTGCATAGTTTATAATTTCCCTCTTAATGTTAGGCTAGTTAATGGTTAGGATGAAGACTATGATTATTTGAAAGGACTGTTGTTCCAGGACCACCAAAACATTTTGATCTAGGATGTCCTACTGGTTTAAATCACAGTGACACTATCCTTCCGTCCTTTCAGTTTTAGACTTTAAAGTCAGATTCTCGGATGTGGCATCCAAATAATTAAAAAATAACTAAAAACCTCTAGTTTCTGAATAAACATAAAAACTGCTCTGTTCCTCCTCAGCGAGACATGGTTGATCGTGTGGAGGCCTCTGTGGTTTTATCAGGTGAGAGTACATCCATTTTTTATTCTATAAAAACACTTATTATTTTGTTATATAGCATATTTCATGCCCTTGTTTCTATACCACTCTTAAGGTGTGGTGGAGAACCTCCAGAAACCAGTGGTGGCGTTTGCACGTCTACGGGATTCAGTGGTGATGGAAGGGGTTCTAGAAGCTCCGATTCCTGTTCGTTTTGTCTTCTTCCACGTGGGCCCCAGTCACAGTGGCATGGACTATCATGAGAGTGGCCGGGCCATGGCGTCTCTGATGGCTGACTGGGTAAAGAGGAGCTATGGACTGGCACTGAAATGTCATGAAATAAATCAAGAAAAATGAAGGCTTTTCTAATGTCTCGTCTTAATTCTGTACATGCAAACAGGTGTTCACTCTGGAGGCTTACTTAGCTACAAACGAGAAAGATCTGACCAATGCCATGGCAGACTTCATGGACTGCAGCATTGTGATCCCACCCACAGAAATCCAGGACGAGAGCATGCTTAAGCCAATCATCAACTTTCAGAAGAAGATGCTACGAGATAGAGTCCGCCCATATGACACCCGACTCATGGTTGGGGGCAAAGGTCAGGCTTTATATAATGACAAGGTGTTGACACTGGTGTCGCTGCATTAATTTAATTTGACAAATCCTTCAGTCCCCTTGTGTGCTTGTTTTTTTAAATAATCCAAATAGCCTGATGTTTATTAAAAAATGTAACACAGTTTATGCATTCTGCAGTACTGTGCAGATTTCCTAAAGATCCAGTCTAAAAAAAACTGCAAAAAAGTCTGCAGATTCAATCTGGGTCTGGTCATGTTCCTTCTCAAGATCTAAATTTGACCCATTTCATTTTAGTGTATATGAGGCTGGTCTGGCATTACTGCAAAATATTTAATATAGTTACACTCACACTTATACTCAATAATTTAGCGGACACTTTTATCCACTTACAAATGAAATGAGGAACATAACAACTAATGTATCATGGAAGAGCCAATAATGCTTTAAATACCACAATGGCAAGCTTCTTTATTAAGATTTAATCATATTCATGCTTTTGGCTCTTCATACGTCACAAGTATGTTTTTTTTTTTCTGTACACATCTTTTCTTTTTCTTTTTTTTTCTTTTTTTGTGACATGTGGCCAAGTATGGTGACCCGTACTTGGAATTAGTGCTCTGCATTTAACCCATCCAAAGTGCACACACACAGTAGTGAACACACACACACCGTGAACACACACCCGGAGCAGTGGGCAGCCATTTTTTGCTGCGGCGCCCGGGGAGCAGTTGGGGGTTCGGTGCCTTGCTCAAGGGCACCTCAGTCGTGGTATTGAAGGTGGGAGAGAGCGCTGTACATTCACTCCCCCCACCTACAATCCCTGCCGGTACGAGACTCAAACCCGCAACCTTTGGGTTACGAGTCCGACTCTCTAACCATTAGGCCACGACTTCCCCCTTAAGGTTTAATTACCTTAATATCAATAATGGCTACATGGAACGGTCTTCCTCTGCATCTATCCTGGCCATCCTAGTGTTAAATCTGGAATTACATCAAATAAACTGTGTTTTATTGTGTTTATTAGCCCCAACTGGACCTGAGAAGCCACGGGAGGATCCACTAGCCCGTACCGGCTATCCGTTTGGCGGTATGGTCAAAGACATAAAACGTTGCTACAAGCGTTACCTTAGTGACTTTACCGATGCACTGGACCCTCAGGTGCTGTCTGCTGTCATCTTCATCTACTTCGCTGCCCTTTCACCTGCCATTACCTTCGGAGGACTTCTTGGTGAGTACATTCACTGCCAGCATAGACTAATCACACCACTGAAAAAGATCTAAATTAGTCGCATTTATCGTTTAACACGTGGCATAAAATCTGGCACACATTTGATCATATTTTGGCCAAGAACTGTCCACCTAGACTGGATGAAATTAAAAAGAGCATTAAAAAGAGTGCTTCACCCGAAAATGGAAACTCATACCTGAGATAATAGAGAGGGCCTATCCCAACACTGCCCTGCTGTCCATGTGCCTTATGTTTGGCTGTTTCTTTATTGCATTGTATATCCGTGGGTTTAAAACTAGCACCTTCCTTCCCGGTCCTGTAAGTTTGCTCAGTTTACCTTTTTTATTTAAAACTCTGATACTGTTTAGCCAAAAATAGGTTCAAAGGTTCAAATAATTATGGAAAACAAAAAGGCATTTCAGCAATTAGCAATCCAGCCAAGCCTTTAAATGTACTGATCATGTTACTATTAAAATACTGTACACCACCAGATTCGTCGAATGATTGGAGATTTTGGTGTCCCCATCGCCATCTTCTTCATGATTGCTGTGGATATCATCATCAGAGATGCCTACACACAGGTTTGACAGACTCAAAATATTGAATTCATGCTTCAAAAAGCAATGGCACCATTTTGATTGATTGATTTATTTTTTGTCATTGTGTGAGCTGCACTGGTTAAAATATTTCAATGTTTTTACAGTGGCAGTCAACCTTGGAAATGTTTGTTATATACTAATTAAATTTTTGTTCTACATTTTTGTTGACATTTACTGGGAAAATCCAGTACTGTAGTACACAGAAAAAGAATATGCACATTTGAATGTACAGTATACAGTAAATTTTTTGTATTTCATTTCAATCAAGGGTCCATATTTGCATGTCCATTTTTACACATTTGTTATATCTAGAGTCAAGTACAGCAGTAAAAAAATATCTATTCACAGAATGTAACACTACAAGTTGCAAAAACTGTTGTGTATGGCTGTGATGTTCCTACATGTTCAAAAATAGTAGTGATTGTGCTATATGACAGTTTCACTAAAAATCAACTGATCAGTTTTGCTCAGCAAGCCACGTGCATTTAGTTATTGTGAAAACTGTAGACAGCTGTACTTTCCCTTTTGCGCACAAGTTGCACACAAGACAAAAAAATCTTATTAGAGAATTGACCCATGCAGAGCGATTATGGAAAAACTCCCTAGTGAAATGAAGATAAACATGTTTTATGCATCTGGACCCATAGCATAATTGGACTTATATAACCTGGGATTTTGACCATTATAATGGATAGTTCCATTCATCTGTCTCATGGTAAATGTGTAAATGGTAAACTTCCTGCTTTAGAAACTGGTGGTGCCAAAGGGGCTGACCGTGTCCAACCCATCTGCTAGAGGCTGGATCATCAGCCCATTTGGTGAGAAGAAGCCATTCCCTGTCTGGATGATGTTCGCCTGTGTTGTTCCTGGCTTGTTGGTCTTCATCCTTATTTTCCTTGAGTCCCAGATCACTACGTGAGTGTGATATTCAGAACAGAACACATTTAAATTCACACTAGAAGATCTTCACTATAAAGAAAACACCAAGAAGAAACAGATGAAGATACTATGATACAGTGAAGATATTTTTGAAAGAAGTCTATTATGCTCACCGACGCTGCATTAATTTAATCAAAAATACAGTAAAAACAGGAATATTGTGAAATGTTACTATAATTTAAGATACAATGAAGATTCATGCAAGGATTTTGGTAGTCAGAACTTTGGTGTAGCTACTGCATTAACCTCACACCTTTTCCTTACCATCCAGGCTGATCGTGAGTAAGCCTGAAAGAAAAATGGTCAAGGGCTCTGGTTTCCATCTGGACCTCCTCCTTTTGGTGTTCTTGGGAGGAGTTGCCTCTGTCTTCGGTGTCCCCTGGCTCAGTGCTGCTACAGTGAGATCTGTCACCCATGCCAATGCCCTGACTGTCATGACCAAAGGCCCCAGACCTCAGATTGAACACGTGTTAGAACAAAGAGTCAGTGGTATTTTGGTGGCCGTGATGATTGGTGAGTTGCAAGCTTTTTATCTGATATAATGACACTTAATCAACACAGTTAGAGTTTAATAGCCATTTTTTTTTTATCAAATCGACATGTGATACATAACAAAATGTTACTGAACAATACACAGAATCATTCTAATTCTTTCCTCACAGGGGTCTCAATTCTCATGGAGCCCATCCTGAAGATGATTCCTATGACGGCTCTGTTTGGCATCTTTCTCTATATGGGTATCACTTCACTGAGTGGCATCCAGCTTTGGGACCGTATGCTTCTGCTTATTACACCAAAAAAGCATCATCCTCCTGTTCCATTTGTCACCCGTGTAAGATTTAATTACATACACACAGAGGCGGACAGTAACTAAGTAATTCACTCAAGTAATGGAGTTGAGTACTTTGTCCGCCTCTGCATACACACATACACTACATGGATAAAAGTGCACTTTTGTTCAAAAGTTTGGGGTCCGTCCACTTTTTTTTTAAGAAACTGACACTTTATTCAGCAAGGATGCTTTACATTGATCAAAAGTTACAATAAAGACCTTTATAGTGTTACAAACAAAGAAATGCAGTTCTTTTGAACTTTATATTCATCAAAAGAGGGGGAAAAATGTATCACAATTTCCACAAAAATATTAAGCAGCACTACTGTTTTCAACAGTGATAAAAAATAGAAAAATGATTAGAATGATTTCTGAAAAATCATGTGACACTGAAGACTGGAGTAATGATGCTGAAAATTCAGCTTTGCATCACAGAAATAAATTAGATTTCAAAATATATTCAAATAGAAATAACTTTATTTTAAATTATAGTCATATTTTACAATATTCCTGTTTTTACTGAATGTTTGATTCAATTATTGCAGCATTGGTGAGCATAATAGACTTCTTTCAAAAACATCATTAAAATCACTTATCAACCACAAACTTTTGAACAGCGGTGTATGGTGACACCCAAACTCCAAACAACAATGATTAGAAGGGATACTTTTGGCCATGTAGTCAATTTGTCAATCGATTGATCCATCCATCTACAGTATCTAGTTACTGAATTCTCTCTCTCTCTGTGTTTCTCTACAGGTGCCCACTATGCGTATGCACTTGTACACTTTGATCCAAGTGATTTGTTTGGCGATTCTGTGGGCAATCAAATCTAGTGCATTTTCACTTGCCCTGCCCTTTGTCCTGATCCTCACGATCCCACTGAGAATGTTCATGACCGGTCCCGTCTTCACTATCATGGAAATGAAATGTGTAAGTATCTCTTATATAGGCCTAAGAGCCCTATGCCACCATGTCTTAATAGAAAACAAAGTTAAAAAGTGCTATATGAACGCTTTGTGTTGTACACATTATATATTGTTTTATACTGCGATGTTTTCCTTTATTGTTTTATTTTTCAGTCAAAAATTTAGACAACACTTACTCACACCTATGCATTTTTATTTGTCCATGTTGTGACTGCATATGTTATGTCATACTTTTGCAGCTGGACGCAGATGATGCAAATGTGAAATTTGATGATGAGGATGACTAAAATAACCCCAAAACACCCCTGGACGTCTTTCTTGAGCCACTATAAATTAATCTTACTGTGTGCATTAAATGAGAATCTTTTGCTTATATTTTTTAACTGTTGTACATTCAGTTCTTAGCTTAACCAATCGATATGTCTCTACATCATTAAAGTTTTAGAATGCAATTAATGCAGACCTAAAATTCATAAACTGTTCATATACATTCCATAGTTGTTTATCACAATCCTTCCTTACTTTTTTTTTTTTCTTTTGTGTGTTTGTGTGCCTGATAAGATATTTGTTTTTGTTTTTTTCATTTGGGATTTATACATCCTGGTGTTTATTTATTTTATGTATTCAGGGTTTCGTGCAAGAAATCTCATGTCAGTGTGAAGCATGTCAACGACACACCAGCTTGAATGTAAATCCTATCATGTTTTAACAGGTGATGCCTTATGCAAAATGTGCCTTTATATAGAATTTCAATGTTTCAGGGACACCATACCTGTAAATATGATAGGCTTACAAATACAGAATATTAGCATAGGTTATTTTTGCAAAGATTTGATACTTTAGAGTATAAATTAATATTTGGTTTTATGTATGCTTGGTCTGTTATGGTGTGTGACTTTAATGATTAAAATTCTTTAAAACATCTACAATAATTCTTAGTAAAGAAAGCCTTACATTCCTGTCCTAAATTAGTCAGGGGAGCTTGCAAACACATCCACTTTGGCCTGGCCCACCCAATCATGAGCTTGGCCCACCCTGGCAACCAAACTCCACCCACCTTCTCAAGTGTCCAGCCCATTCTGAGAGTCCTACGACCTTCCTTACGTGTTAAAGCCAGACCTGCTTTACTGAAAATGTAAAAAAAAAAAAAAAAGACCTTTTCACCAGTGATTCCCAACTAGGGGTACTTTAAGAGGACCCTTTTTTTTTTTGCAGAAAATGTAGAAAAACTGAAATTTTCGACTTAAAATGTAGTGTTATCAATACATTAAAATAATCCCAATTTTTTACATTTATGTATTATTATTATTTATTTTATTTTATTTTTTTACATTTTTGTCAGTGAGTAGTATACGTACATACTTTACCATTCAGAGTAGAAGTTAGTACGATTTTTTTTAATAGTTTTGAAATAAGTCTCCTATGCTTACCAATGCATTTATTCGATTAATAAACAGTAAAAACTGTAATTGTGTGAAATATTATTAAAATTCAAAATTACTTTTCATTTAATACATTTTTATATCATTTATTTCTGTGAAGACATGTTTAGCCATCTAACATGAGAAATCAGAAATCATTCTAATATGCTGATTTGATGCTCAAGAAATATGTCTTATTATTATCAATGTTGAAAACAGTTGTGCTGCTTAAAGGGGTGGTTCACTGGGTTTTTTCTAGGCTTGATTGTGTTTTTGGGGTGCAGTCTAACATGTGTTAATGCTTCGTTTAAAAAAAAAAACGCATTATTTTTCACATAATTTACCTTTATAGAGTGGTGGAACTATGATGTCACTTTGTTGGCAAAAACTCGTAAGCGAGTTAGCATTTTAGCACTTCCGGTTCCATCGTCCCAGAGTCAATGGGTTTTTTGAATGGGATTTTGGTTAAATCCGTAAAATAAGGTCCGTGGTTCACACAAGCTCAAGATACTTTCACGTTTTATTCTACGACATAAAATACACCAGTTACACCCCACTCGTGATTTTTTAGTCGCGGTGAAAGTGAAACTTTAACGATGCATAGTGCTTAAAGCCACGTTAAAATTAAATGTTTACGGCCACATGAAGCTGTTAGAAAAGCATATGAGGAATTTCTAGAAGCAAGGATAAAATAACATTTTGTGTACCCACCCTAACAAAATGATAGCTGAAATGTGGTACTTTATTCACGAAAATAAGTTTAATCTTACCATATCCAAAAACTCGCTCACTCTGCTGTTATTTAATAGATTAAATGCACTAGAATTTTATTGAATAGTACGTGGAGACATGTTTTTAATTAAAATATTAATATTAATCAAGGATTTATTGACTTTTAATGCACCTTATTTCGAAATGTACAGAAATAGCCATACGTGCTTTCATATGTCCTTTAGTTATGATTATTTCATTTATTCACTATACTATTTACTATTAATGTCTCATTTCAGTTTTAGTTTGGCTCTAGTTTTGTATCTATTCCAGTTTATATGAAAAGGTTCATGTAGCGTGGATTTAAATTCATATACAGAATAAATCCTTTTCACTGAACACGTTAAAAATAAGTGTGAAAAGGTTGTCGGGAGCGTGGTGGTGGTGACGCTGAAGGCGAGCGACCGTGGTGCTGTAGTTCGTTTATAGCCTAAGTTTAGCTTTTAAGTTCTGGCGCTTTTATTTAGGCTTCAAAATTCATCAAAGTTATATTATTTTGTGAAGATTATCTTGATGGACAAAACGTGTAAGTTTCATGAACTATGGTTGAACAC